TTTTTTTTTTTGCCTTTTGCATTTCCCCTTTTCAACAGCTTCCACTAATATTTAAGGCAGTTATTACTTTGCTCATGTGTTTTGTATTATTCTAATACAATATGCTAGTTAGTATTTCTTTTGTTTTTTCTGAACCGTATTTGCTTTAAGATTTAGTGATTTTATAGTCTCTCAGCTGCTATGTATTTGATATGCATATGCATGCAAGCATTTTGAGCAATAATATGTATTTCCATGGGGTGACAAACTGCTGTAATGGCATGCAATATATGGTTAAATCTGTGTTTAATCTGATCTGTTGCACTTTATCTGTATGTACATAAATTTGTTCATTATTACAATGCCGTAGCTGTCAATCTTTTTTGTTGTTTATGCGCTTACACTGAAAAGTTCAATGATATGATTCATGCACAAGTGCATTTTATCTGCAGATATCTAATGCCCACGACATCTATTTTGCATCTGAGCTAATTATTCTGTAAACTTTACCAGGCCACGAGGAAGCACTTGTCCTCAAGGATTGATCGTGTAGATTGTAAAATCGATGAGTGCGCTGATAATGCAGCTGCCACAAAGGAGGAGGTAAGGCAAAATAGTGATTGAAGTTGGCTCCTTATTTTTCCTTCGTATCTTGTCAAGTTACTGACTTATTAGCTTGTATAGGTATTGGAACTACGGGGTGATGTGAAACTTATTGGTTCAGATGTGCAATCTGTTCACCATGTCGTGCGATCACTGGTGACTGATTTCTTTTCTTCACTACTACATTATGTTCCCTCTTTTGTTAATCAATCTTAAATCGGCTTGGTGAGAGCGGAAAATCAACCTTGGACCTTTTCCTTGTCACAGGAAACTAAAATTAGCAGAATCGAAGGTAGACAGGTAATATTTACTCTATAATCTTACGTTATTACTTTGTTTTATTGTGCCTTAATTACATTTTTAATCATCATTATCATCTGTGTAGAATGAAATGAATTTCGGAGTTGGGAAATTGGTTACATTCGTCAGGAATCTTGAAAACAGCAGAAGTACGGAACAGATTGAGGTAAGATTATAATCTTCTTGGTCCCTCTTCTTTTCTACTGTTACAATGTTTTCCTAATTATAGAATGGACTTCCCAGGGAGGCGCATCAAGTTCTGCTAGGCCTGCTATTGAATTGCCACAAGCATCTCCATTACGGGTAAAAGTTCAATTCATTATCCATTTATATAGTTAGCCATTCATCAATTTCACTTGTTTGTGCTTCACAGGCAGTGTCTTTGCCTCCGAATGCTTTACCTGAGCCACCATCACCTTCTAACAAGGCCAGTGAATCTTCACGAAGCAAACAGGCTGTACTCTCTCCTTCGAATTCAACAAAGGGTAAACTTTTTTCGTCAGGCCTGAAGGTAATAATATGATTTTCCCAATTTACCAAACATTATGTAACTTGTAACTTGTTGGCTTCATTGTGTAACATCTATATATATGTATGTATATAAATCAGGAGTTTGGTGGGATACCTGAGGATGTTGGGATTTCAAGCCTAACCGAACGTCACTCTGAAGAAACTAAAACAGACACAAAACCTGAAACCTCGTCTGCTGGTGTGCTTAAGAGAACTTTCTCCGAAATTGGTGCATCTTTGCTTACAAGGAGCCGCAGTGCAATGCAGTCGTTCAAGTAGATCGTTGTGGTTCTTTTATTTGTGAATAACAGAACCTATTTAGGACATTTTTGCGGTCACAGTGCTAAGATGGCGAGTCGTATATGCTTTTTAAATTAGTATCTATCGCTACCCGAAAAAAACCGAATTTTGTAGATCCTCTCTCTTTCAGAAAATTTTCCCCAGAGGAACCTGCTCAAGTTCCTTCTAAATGTGGGGTATACCTATTATAGAGTATGGAGTAAAACATTGAATAGCAAAGACCTCAACTTTTTGTTTATCTCGTCTTCTCTTATGGTGACTATTGTGAACTTGTCGGCCCAGCTTGTACTAATACCATGATTATGTCATATTTTGTGTTTGCATGTTGAGGCTCAAAGTCATCAACAACAGTGGTACTTGACCCCTAAATGATTGTGTTAAAAAATACATGTAAAAGGTAACAAGACAAAAAAATCTCCATGTCACATTCTGAAGGAAGACATACAACATAATGTAGCTCATAACCCATATCAGGATCATCTATTTTACAGTTCTTGGTAGAGACCTTCGAATATGAAATAGAAAATACATTATAAGTTGGTAACAGTGAAATACTTAAAACAAGGGAAAAAAGAAACAAATCTTTTTTAACATCAAAACAGACAAATCATATGTTTAAGACTGCCTTAATCTATCTCCCTTCAAAATTCTCAAGAAACATGGGAGAACTCACAACTACCCCAGAATCATCACTGATATCAACAACGGCCCCCCCCAACCTTCCCTTTCGTGGGCCCCACGTCATCATCCCGAGTCGAGTCCTCCTCCGCGGCCCCTTGCAACTGCAGGGAACACTCCAAGTGCCACAACACGTCCCCCATCGAGGGGCGATCCACCCCATACTCGGCCAGGCACTTCTCGGCAGCCTCGACAAACTTAGTCAAAGACTCCCCACAGATAGCCCCTGCAATAACCGGGTCAACGATTTTCTCTATCTCGCCGCTCGTATTTTTCCTCCGGGCCCACTCGGCAAGGTTCACCTGCTCCCTTGGCAGGCTTGGGTCGAGTGCAGGCCTCGCGCAGAGTACCTCAAACAACACGACCCCAAACGAGTACACGTCCGACTTCTCGGTCAGCTGCTGCCGCCTGAAGTACTCTGGGTCGAGGTACCCGAAACTACCCTTCACGGCCGTGCTCACGTGCGTCTGGTCTATAGAACCGGGCCCGGCCCTCGAAAGCCCGAAATCTGAAACCTTAGCCACGAAATTCTCGTCGAGGAGAATATTCGTCGTCTTCACGTCCCGATGGATTATACTCCCCTGTGCCGAACCCG